GAGATGCAGATGGAGATGGAGATGGAGATGGAGATGGATGTATAGATGGAGATGGAGATGGAGATGGAGATGGAGATGGAGATGGAGATAGAGATGGAGGTGGAGATGGAGATGGAGATGGAGATGGAGATGGAGATGAGATGGAGACAGATGGAGATGAAGATGAAGATGAAGATGAAGATGAAGATGGAGATGGAGATGGAGATGGAGATGGAGATGAAGATGGAGATGGAGATGGAGATGGCGATGGAGATGGCTATGGCACAACCATGAAGATGGTGACGACTTAACTAGGAGTATGGCTACAGCGATGAGGATCTGGTTATGGCTATGGGTATAGGTAGGGTTACGGCGTGAAGACGGATGTGGATAGCGCTACCAGTGTGGCTATGGCTACAGCCATGAAGATGGCTATGGCTATGGCTATGACCTACACTGTGAACATAGCTACAGCTCTGAACATTGCCGCAGATGGCTATGACACTGGAAAAGCATGTGAAGCCGGCTATGACTGAGCAGATGACTATGGCTATGTCTATGTCTATGGCTATGGCTATGGCTATGAAGAACCCCATGGTTATGGCTATGGGTATGAAAATTGCTATGACTACGGCTATGAAGATCTCTATGGCTATGGCTATGACGATCTGTAGGGCTATGGCTGTGAAGATCACTATGGCTATGGCTATGAAGATCGCTATTGCTACGTCCATGAAGATCATTATGGCTATCGCTATGAAGATCGCAATGGCTATGGCTACGGCTCTCGCTCTGGCTCTGGCTCTGGCTCTGGCTACGGCTCTGGCTCTGGCTCTGACTCTGGCTATGACTATGGCTACGGCTCTGGCTCTGGCTATGGCTCTGCCTCTGGCTCTGGCTCTGGCTCTGGCTCTGGCTCTGGATGGTTATGCCGATGCATACCAGTACACTATGGCCATAGCTGTGAAATAGGATTATGGCTATAGCTATGAAAGATGACTATGGCTATAGCTATGAAAGATGACTATGGCCGTTGACACAGAGTCATTCGCATCAGGGCCATGCAAATGGCGACCATGGCCGTGGCTTGGCCAAAGCTCTGTTAGTGTTTTTTTTTTTTTGTCCTTTTTTCTTTTGGTGGGTAGGTGTATTGTTTTCTCTTTCGTATCTCTCTGCCATTCTTTCTTCCTTATTATCCATTTTTATTATCCTTTTCACCCCGCCGTTAATTAATGGAATTCAACGAGTTGCACGCTCTCCTCGAGGCTGTGCGTTGGTGAGGGTTTGTGCCATCAAGCTCCGTTTGGGCACTAAAAATCTTCGATCACGCTGTAACTGGCCCTCTCTCTCTCTCTCTCTCTCTCTCTCTCTCTCTCTCTCTCTCTCTCTCTCTCTCTCTCTCTCTCTCTCTCTCTCTCTCTCTCCCCCCTCCCCCTGAAATGTGGTGGGAAAGTTTGATTTGACACAGAAAAAAGTTTCTGTTACACAACATCTTCAGAGGGGGAGGGAGAGAGAGAGCTGCACAGGCCCAGCATCTCTCTCTCTCTCTCTCTCTCTCTCTCTCTCTCTCTCTCCCCAAAATGTGGTGGGAAAGTTTGATGTGACACAGAAAAAAGTTTCTTTACACATCTTCTTCAGAGGGGAAGAGAGAGAGAGAGAGAGAGAGAGAGAGAGAGAGAGTTGCACAAGCCCACCATATCTTCCTCTGAGGGGCAATCGCCGGCCATGTTCGTCTGAGGGGCAATCGCCGGCCATGTGAGCTAGAGGTAGGCATCAACCACCACCCTTGAGATATCCATGAAGAGAATCATCAAACCCTTGAGAGCAGAGAAGGGAGACGCACAAGACAAGGGGGCAAAGAGAGAGTGACAAACGGAGGAGAGAGCCTGAGGGAAGGGGGAAGAGGTCAGGACGGCGGCACAGAGGGACTCCAAGGGATGGAGGTGGAGGGACAAAGGGGACAAAGGGGACAAAGAGAGAGCGATAATGGGAGGGAGGGAGGTGGGCGGACAAAGCAGGCAAACAGAGAGTGACAGAGGGAGGAGAGAGAGTGAGAAACGTAAGCCGGCAAGAATGGAGGAAGCAAAAGGCGAATGGCTTGACAGGCCAAGGAGGTGGGAGAGTTTTTGGGAAATGACGCAGCGATGGGTGGAGGGAGGAAAAAGAATACTTTAACAATTTAGAAAAAAACAAATATGAAGTTAACCGATGTTCTGAGTGAAAAGAAAAGAAAAGAAAAGAAAAGAAAAGAAAAAAAAGAAAAAAAAGTACGGGTGCAGACAATAGGAAGGAAACAAAGGAAATAGAGAAGGAAGGGGGGGAGGAAAAGGGGGAGGGGAGGGAGGGAGGAAGAAAGGAAAGGAACAGGGCCAAGGGCACCGGTTCGAATCCGGAGGTGGTCTGAGGCCAGAAAGAATGGATCCATAGCTACTATTGGTACGAGACTGTCCTCTTCCTTCCCCCCTTCTTCACTCCCCTCCTCCTCCTCCTCTCCCAACCCCCCCAC